GGGGGCAATCTTTGAACTGACCCCTGGCTGTAAATGGACGTCTTTTTTCTCCTTTTATGGGATCAAGTGTGTGTGTGAATGCTGAGAGAGAGAGAGAGAGAGTGAATGGTAGGTGTTTATGACTCCATCCACTTCACTTGGCAGGGTGACTACGGTTGAATTAGTGCATGTGAGAGTGTCTGTGTGTGGCCACGTATGTCAGGACACGTGACGAAGTTTCACTCTCATCGAAGGTGGACACAGATGTTGCATTAGAAACTGTGTAGATGGGCTGAGAGAAGTGCAGTATAATGGTGGGGGGTGGGGTCTGACTATCTTGCCCATGGTAGCCATTTTCTCAACATTCTGAAAACCAGCTCAAATCCCTTTCGGCCATTTTTTTTTTCTCCAGCAGCAGCAAAATTGAGTGATTTAAATGTGGCAAGCAGGCTCCAATCTGGCAGCCACATGTGCACCGACCTCCTCTCTGTCTTTTAATGTCAAGTTGTAATCGACTGCATATTGCTCGCACCAACCGCAGCCGTTCCTCGCAGCACAAATAGTTTGTGACAAACATGCTCGCAAGACAAACTCGCTCACTCAACAATCTGTTCCTTACAAGAAAAAAAAACCCAGCAACAAACAACAAAGTCCCTGAAACGTAGCCGTCTGTCGATGGAGTTCTCATTCTAAAAGTGCATATTTTTTGTTTTCTTATTATTTACCACAAAGAGATATTTTGTCCATTTTGAACTTTCAAATAAGATATTAGAATTATAACACAACAAAAAAAATCACCATCAGTTTTTGAGCAAAGTCTGTAAGAACTACAGTTCTGTATGAAGAACAGATCAAGTAACATCAAGCCTTGCGTCAGTTTGGCCAACATCGCAATTTCTTTGGCTCGGTATTTACATGTAACAAGCCTTTTAATGTGGCCTTGACGGATTACTTATTTTGTGTCGGCTACACTGTCTCTCATGGCAGACCTCAGAGGGGACTCCTCAGAAGATCCGTCATCTTTATCCTCACTTAAGTTGAGGGAAAAATAAATACGCAACAAGAGGAGGGGAATGCAATTAAAATGCCATATCTGTCATCTTTGGAGAAAAGATTGATGGGAGGATTACCACAGGGGAATGAAGCCCTGTGACCCCTCAGGGGTTTTCTCTCTGAGTCGTAGGTTTCGGGGTCAGCCCCAGGAGGGCCTTCAAATTGGCTCGGGCTGCTGGGTAAGATTGATCGGGGGGGGGGGGGGGGAAGGGGGGGATACAAATGGCCGCCATCTAATTGTTTAACGGAGGACCAACACATTAGGCCAACAGGATGACACAACCTTGGTGTAATCTATTTACTGAGAGATGCCTGCAATCCCATCCGCAGCCCTCCAGCCCCCTTCCTGCTGCCTCTTCACTGCCTCTGAAACTCTATCTGTGGCCAGGGTTTGGATTCCAGGCCCGTTTGAACTCAATCTGCGGCTAAAAGCTGGGTTTTGCTAGCGTTAGCTTGGGGGCTGTGCTCCCTGGAGTCCGTGGTCAAAGTGATGAGAATGTATATGGTGCCATAGATAATCCAATCGTGATCGGTGGACCACGAAGGCCTCATTAATCATCCTACTGTAATTTTTTAAAAGGCAGATGGTCCGTAGTGAGTAGGGTTACAGTATCTGTGAGTACCAGAGGTCGAGGTTCAGTCCGCCTGGACATTTAGGAGCAGATGTCAAAATGAAATGTTACCTGGGCGTCCGTGGAATTTTTAAGAGAGTTGTGTTCATATTTTGTGTGAAAATTCCTACAGGGATTTGGTGTAAGCCAAAAGCCGAATATTAAAAAAAAAAAAAAACCTTAGGTACATTTACAGCATACAAAAAAAAAAAAAAAAAACCTTAGCTACATTTACAGCATATTTGTGTGAAACCATCGTGTCGGTCGATACGTTTACATTTTTCCTATTTATCTTTTTCATTGTCCAAAAACACAATCAGTACACGAGATTCTCTGTTTTACAACTTTATCTCTCCTAAGTTTATGGATTTGTCTTTGCAGTATTGTGTGTGTCTATGTGTGCGTGTGTGTACGATCCAGGTTTATCTCGTCACATCCTGAGATAGAGGCTTGATTTGTGCGTTGGTGCCACACAGACGGAAAAAGCCGGGTTTAAGCCATTATGTTTGCTTTAACCTTCACATGTTGAAAGCGTGCAGATGCAGATCGAGCCTGTGTGTGAATGATGGCCTCATTATCAGCTGCAGGAGAAAAGGCCTCGGATAACATCGCCCACTGGAGGTTTAATGAAAGTGAATGGATTTGCTCTTTTGACGAGACAAAAGCAGAACGAGGTGAGCTCATTCGGAGCTCTTTAAAGCAGCTGTAGTCAGTTTTTTTTTCTTGCGCAAACTGGGAATCAGCAAAAAAAAAAAGAGGTTTGATATTATTTCGAAAAATGTGTAAAATAAAATGTTTGGAGATGCCTGCTTCAGCCAAGAGGAAATTGGTCCAGTTTTATGGATAACATTTATTTCTGCAGAAATAATAGTCTTAAAGAATATTGGTAGCACTGTGCTCCCATGCTGTGGAATGTTAGCTGTGTGGCCTTGCACTTTCACATGGAAACCAAATTTAAAAACAAAATGGAAGTGGTTGCTTTGTGGCCTGGCCCAGTGTTTGGTTTCTCAGCCGGAGCAACGAGTGGGAGATTTAGAAAAGCAACATAAAAACGACTCTTTCCACAGCAGAAAGTGATGTGGACGAAATGGAGACCATAAAAAAATGACAAAAAACGTTTTATCTCATGTTTTTTTTTTTGTTTTGTTTTGTCATCAGCTCCATCTCCAGTGACCTCCATCCAGGCAAAGGACATCACAAGACACACCATCTCACTGGCCTGGCAGCCTCCAGACAGAGCCAACGGGGTCATCTTAGAGTATGAAGTCAAGTACTATGAGAAGGTAACAGGAGGGCCACAAGTACCTTTACATTATAATGTTAATATTATAATAGAGTCTTTAAAGTAGCAATAAAATAATATATAATAAAAAACAGAGTTGAAAAAGTAACTGTTAATATTTCTGTGATGAGACGTATGATGAGGTGAAACTGAAATAAAACTATTAAGAACCATAATATTTTTATTAAATATAATATGAATGTTTCTTGAAATTAAATTATTAAGCCAGAATTAAGATAGAAAAATTAGCATTTTCCACAATCAAACCACTAATTTTACATTTCTGTCTCAGTTACACTTGGCCTTTGTTGATAAATAAAAAATGTGCTTCTTTCTTACCTACCTATAAATTGAGAACATTTACTCTTCTAACTGATATTATACACTAAATCAAATACCTCATATGAAATTCAAAAACTTTAGATGAATATTGTTACATAAAGTTTTAGTGCTAAATTGTGTGATTTTAGCCAGAAGTTTTCATATTTTTTTTAAAGTTCTACCTAATCTAATCTGAGAGAACACTTGTCTCCAGAGGAGAGCAGGTTCACGCAGAGCATTTGATCAATTTCAGTCTGTTGATGAGATATTTTCCATCAAAAATGCTATAAACTGTTGATGAGATATTTTCCATCAAAAAATGCTATAAAACCCCTTCACTGTTACCTGCCCCCCCTTCTCCCTCCAGGACCAAAATGAAAGGAGCTACCGGATCATAAAAACATCATCGAGGAACACGGAAATCAAGGGCCTGACCCCTCTGACCTCCTACGTCTTCCACGTGCGTGCTCGCACCGCGGCGGGCTACGGAGAATTCAGCGGCCCGTTTGAGTTCATGACCAACTCTGGTGAGCTCAACCTCAGCCGCTCTACTGTACTTGACTTAATGACATGAGAGCAGAGGCAGAGAGAGGCTCTGGGCCAGATACATCATGCCTCATTCTGCAAACCCCTGCAATGAGAGCATCATTTACGACTCCTTCGCTTTCATTGTAGAGTCATTAATCAACATTGCTGTCAACTACCACAGACAAATGATATTGTGCTCCAGCACCTGACTGGCAACTTGAGTAGCTTCCATTATTCAACGTGCAGTGTGTCTCTGCGACTGCAGCAGCCAAGTTCAACTTATATGGGTTTTTAAAGAATAATACCGTCTTTGACATTTCTGGTTGGAAGGTGCTGATGGCTGCTTTTTGCCTCTCATCGGCAGCCCTTAAATATGAGCTTTGGAAAGCCAAAAAAATAAGCAGTGACTCCTTCCAGCAGACACTGAAACTCAGTTAAAAAAAAACCTCACCATAACAGCATTAGCATATTGCATGCTAACAGATGATTTGTGATCACAGTTTTTAATAAGCCCCTAAAAATCTGTCAGTTGTGCCACGAAGAATTCGTCAGAAACCTGAGAACTTTGGATTTATTTAGATTTCAAAGTTTCCAAGAGTTTTTTTTTTTTTTGGATGTATGGTATAAAACTATGATTTTTGGACTTCTGCTGCACTGCACACATTTAACCGTGTCAGATTGAGTGGAATTAATACTTGTCACAGAATGAAAGCTACTTCAGGGAAAATTTAATACAAAACCCAAAAACCCCTAATTCATTAAAAACAAATCTTTTTTATATTATTTATATTTTACATTATTTTTATACTTTTACAAGGTATAGTTTGGATATTTGACACCAACGTTCGTTTACATCACAACAAATATATATATTTATGATTAATAATTCAATTCCATGGCTGTTTGGTTCAGTTGTGTTGTATGAGTTATTATTTATGATAACTTAATAATAATTTATTATTATTTTAAATTAGCTAAGATTAGATTTAAATGTAAAAAAAATTAAATATATATATTAAAAAAATAATAGAAATGTTGACATTTTTTACACATATTTTGACCAGTCATACAACCAGTGGCAACAGTCTCCCAAACAAGGCGGCAACTCGGCCTGCAGTTACACTGATCCAACAATCGGTGGACTTTCAAATTGCTGAACAAATAATTTACACCTCAAAAACCTCAGCTGACACTTAAGGAACAAACAGGAAGGGCCCCACCTGAGCTAACAATGGCTAGCTGCTTTGTAATGTAAATAGAGCCAGCGGTTCATGGTAATGACACTGTCAAACTCTCACATGCTAATGGGACGCCCCCGTCTCTGGAGTGGCCGTAAACAAGGCAAGTGTGTGTGTTTAGGGACGACTGGACGACACACAATTCATCAATCATAACCTGTTCTCTTTGTCCAAACTCCTTCCTAACATGTCCTCTCCACCGCCCCTCCTCCCTGTGTCCACAGTCCCTGCTCCCATTATTGGTGATGGGACAAACTCCACGGTGCTGCTGGTGTCCGTGGTGGGCAGCGTCGTCCTGCTCATCATCCTCATCAGTGCTTTCGTCATCAGCCGAAGGTGAGCTTCAACCCTCCTTTATGCTCTCTGTCTCCCACTCGAGACGTGTCTCACTCAGCTCCGTCAGGAGACGGACATTTAAAAACACAACACACACCAACAAGACAGCCGGCCAGACAGCCAGTCCAAGTCACTCGCATCATCGCGACTGATGACTCGCCACACTGGAGACATGATTGACAGCTCTGACAGCTGAAGAGATGCAATCAGTGACCCCCTCACTGTCTGTCCTCTCCATCCGTCTTCTTCTATCTCTCAGCTAGTGGCTGTAATCCCGGCCGATAGTTATTTTCTCCCGCTGCGCCCTGCTTACTGCCATGATGGGAATGATTGAGGGTGAAAATAGGAGGAGAGGGGGGGGAAGCCAGAGAGGGTTGGGCGATACGATAAGCAAGCAACAAGAAGCGGGAAATGGAATACAGAGCGGGGCACGGAGAGAAAGAGGCATCAGGTGGATTTGCCGGTGACCCTATCTCAGGATGTTAACCAGGGAGCGGGACGAGGCGCGGCCACACAGATGGGATTACATGCAGATGGGGCTGCCGCACCTCGCTGTGCATTCTGTGTGAGCGCTCACACGTGTGTGTGTGTGTGTGGGGGGGGGTCGGTAATGACTTCTGTGTCATTTTCTGATTATCAATATCAGCATCTTCAGGTTGTCGGCGCAAACCCTGACATTTTCATGGCCATTAGTATTCATGGTATTCATGGAGCCCACGGTGTCTGTGACCGCGGTCAGATTGAGGCACAGCCTAATTTCATTGTTAGGCTTTTATGTTCATTTTGATTGAGTATTGATTTGGACAGAGCTTATTGGTTGTTGGGAATTTTTGGGCCAGATTTTTTTTAACTCATTAAAGACCCTTTCTACAATTTTAAAGACAAATCGTAAACCCAGCACCGAGAAGATAGATTTCAAGATAAGTCTGGACAAAAATGCTAATTGAAGTTAGCTTACAGCTCACTTCAGGCACCGACTGGTTATGGCTCAGGACACGGTTGCGGTTCACCTGTACAAATGAATGGGTTTAATGACTGTGTAATAAAGTCTGTGTGTGTGTGTCGTCATATGAAACCAAATGGCTGATTGTGTGTGTTTGTATACTGGTGTCAGGGGTGTGTGTGTGTACGGTGGAGGCTGTATCCTCCCTGTGTGTGTGTCTGTCTGTGTGTGTCTGTGTGTGTGTGTCCTCATTTCCATGTGAGTGCCTCCCTCTTCAGCCAAGCAGGTGGTTGTCTGTGGCTCTTTATGTGCATGTGATGACCACTGTCATTGTGCGGCAGCGATTGTGGGGAGGGTCTGTAATCACACAGCCGTTTACCGTCATTACACAGCCACGGTGAAGACAATGTCGTGCACATCTGGTCGGTTCCACCGCTGACCCCTCGCATCAATACCAGCGCGAGTGTCAGACCGCCTCAGGGACTCCGAATTCAGGAATGAAGTGCATCTCTGCGAGGATTTATTTATAGCTTCTTTAGCTCCGAGCTTCTCTGCTCTGGTGTTTTTACCGTTCGCTCAGTGCCCTTCAACAACAACACTGCTGAAAACACACACTGATATGAAATTGGATTTGAAGCCAAACGTATTAGGGCATAAATATATAATTCACATTATAAGCGTTGGGTCTCTTAAAAAATATTCATTTGTTTTAATATCAATTATTTGTCTATTTACCTGAAAATATAGGACATAAGATCAGCTTTTACACAGACAACCTGAATGTGTGTTTGTTTAAATGCAGGTAAATTTGACGACTTTTTAATTTGCTTTTGACATGTTTTGTTGGACAATTTTTGTGATTAACTGCAAAACAACAACACATTTACAGTGAAATTCTATGGTGTAATTTAAATTGCAATTTTATGCCCAATTTCTCCCATGATTTTAATCACCGTGGGTTTTAGTTTGGAAGAGCAGAATCCATATTTTTACACGGACGCTCCTCGTTTGATGTTGTGTTTTGGGCTCTTTACAGCTTTGATAAAAACATCAAACTATAAAAGTTTAACATTTTAAAATAATAGTTCCCATATTTGGTGGAACAAGGATTTAAGAGCAGCAGAGGAGATATTTGAAGTGGACAAAACAACACGCTTTCGAGATATTTGGAGTGGACAAAACAACACACGCTTTCTGATGATTTCAAAAATATTTTCCCTTAAAATGAAACAACAAAAAGCAAATATTAACACACATTTCTAAATTTATAGAAAAAGAAAAAAATCAGCTGAGATAATGGATGGATCGGAAAGTTGGACTTCGACACACACCAGTGTACTTGTTTGTGTAATACTTATTAGAACTGTTGCCATAGTAACCACAGAACTATTTAGTTTCTTTAAAGACGGTTTCTGGGACTCTGGAGCTGCAACTTCTGGTTCCATTAATGTTTAAATAATACTGTATGTGTTTCTAATTTAGACTTGGACGGTTTCTTTTTTGCTGATGCTTGTTTTGACCGTTCTGCTCTTTTTCTCCCCCAGAAGAAGTAAGTACAGCAAGGCGAAGCAGGACTCTGATGAGGAGAAGCATTTACATCAAGGTACGTCAACTCTGAAAAAAATACCTGTGCTGTCAGGTGCGTTCCTGTGCATGCACTCCTAACCACAAATGAAGCTCATAAAACAAACTCCTTTATAGTCAATGCACTTGCATCCCAACACGCTCCGAACACCTCATTATCAAGTCAACAGCGTTGTTATTTGCATCCCACAAAAATTTCGAGTTAATGAACCCCGTCCTTATTGAAGTCAGCCACAGTAACATGGAAAGCAGCAGAGTCTGGAGTGTGAAGTGTGGTATGGAAAGAAGAGAGGAGGAGAAGGAGGAGAAGGAGGGGGAGGAGAACTCACAGAGGAAGGCAGTGTAGCCTGTAGCATGATGGAAATAAAGAACAGATGGAGTTTTGTTGCCGGAATGAATTAACCTTCATTTTTACCCTCCTCTTTACCTTTTTTCTTTAACTTCCTTCCTTCCTTTGCTTCTTGCAAATGTCTCTCTGCAGGAGTGAGGATATACGTCGATCCTTTCACGTACGAGGACCCGAACCAGGCCGTCAGGGAATTTGCCAAAGAGATCGACGCCTCCTGTATCAAGATTGAGAAAGTCATTGGCATCGGTGAGGAACTTTAAACACACACACACCGCTAGCTCCGCTACGTTTTCATGTCTAAAAAAACTCACATTCTCTTTTTCTCCAAACTGATTTTTGCCAAGAACACAACACATGTGGCTTATTCATGCGTTTGTCTCGCACAACATCAAATAAGTGCTGATGTTATCCATCAGTACTTCCATCAACATGTGTGATGCGTTCATGAGATTACGTTTTCACATTTTGCTGCAACATATGTAGGGCATATGCTACGCATATCTCTCTGTTGTTTTAATAAACTGTGTTCATAAGTCATTTCAGAGAAAGTGTTTCTAGATATTAAAAATGTTTTCTGAACACTTTCCAGTCACTGAGATTGAGAATCAAACACAAAGTAGACAAAGAAAATGTAGACATTTGGAGTTGATCTCATAATCTGATAAAAAACAAAAATCCTTTTCTCCTTGCAGTATACACCATTATCTTTTATGTGTTTTTTGTGTGCGGTTTGGTTTGTAGACAGGTCAATGAGTAAAAAAAACAGCCTGCTAATGGCTAAATACGTTATCCTGGCTATTTCTGTGGCTAGAGAAAAAGACATCCAATGACCAAATAATAAAGAGAAGGAATCAATATCCATTTCCCCTCACTCACTGCACCAGAAGGATAGGAGTGGAGGGGCAGAGAGGGATAACAGACCCCCGATCAATGTTTAAAGTGGACCCTGTCTAACCTGCACACACGAGTGTATTCAGCCCACTGCAGTCACAGGACTGTTGAAACTGGTTAAAGAAACCTGAAATGAACAATAGTTATTTTTGTTAGCTACCCAGCTAATTTAAAGCACAACTCAAACATATATTCCACTTATTCTACCAAGTGCCACAATACTTAATTTTCACCTCTACCATTTCACCTAGTGTAGAATGCAGGCAGTCGTGTTGTGATAACAGTCTGTGTCTTGTGTTGCAGGAGAGTTTGGCGAGGTCTGCAGCGGCCGCTTAAAGATGCCCGGCAAGAGAGAGATCTGTGTGGCCATCAAGACTCTGAAGGCCGGCTACACGGACAAACAGAGGAGGGACTTCCTGTCTGAGGCCAGCATCATGGGCCAGTTCGACCATCCCAACATTATTCACCTGGAAGGCGTGGTCACAAAATGTACGTAAAGCTTGATTTTACCACCACTAGCTTCAGTCATTTGGAATGTTGGATGAAAAGGAAAAAATGTACATTGGTGAGACTTAGTGTGGACTGAAACTGAACTGAAACACACATTTTGATAGAACGTCAATTCAACAACCTTGGTATTTTAAAATGAATAATTATCCTCCATCAGGTTTAATTGCTGGGCTTTAACACAGGCCAGATTAGCCTCCTCACTAAACTCCTCTGCATCGCCTGGAGAAAAATCCAGAGCATGTTAACAGAGAGCGGACATTTGTTTCTGTCATCTCGTTCTCCCTCGAAAGAAATTGTAACAATAAATCATTACAAAGTACACCTGCGGTTTTCGTTGACAGGAAGTGTCGGGCCATGTAGGGACAAAATTCAAACCTTTACTTGTCAAGGGGTGCGTTTGTGTTCTGCTGCTAGTACCGATCAGAATACCCCTGTATACTGTATATGTCCAACTGTATACACATTGGTACTGCTGGTCCAGAGGGTCCCCAGGTGGGCTTTGTCCAGATGGAAGGGGTCTAGCCTTGTTGGAGTGGGGGAGGTGGGATAAGAGGGAGCTGGTCAGTTGGAGGGGATGGAGGGTCTAATGGGTCCAGGACAGGCCCTGCAGCACAGCACCCAGCTCATTAATCATGGTGACAGCCGTAAATGTGTTTGGGGTTAGGGAGTGATACCCTATCCCTCCTCTATCTGCTGCTGCGTGGCCAGAAAACACCAGCTAAGTCTCCTTCTCTCTGCCCTTGGCTCTCACTTCTCCTTGTCCCCTACTTTTTACACCCCCCTGCAATGCTATATGCAGGTCTAAAATCACTAAATGCATTAGGGGAGGGTCTTGTCAGGATTACATCAGGCCACTGTGTCTGGGCGCTAAAGATACTAAGAACAGTGAGAGAAGACAACCGTCCCTTTACTCCTCTTCCACTGAACTGTTTTTATTTTAACCAAATCCACCACAGAATCGAGGGGAAAACAAGTATGCAGTTCCTCTGGGAATCGAACCCAGGACTACCTGCTCTCTGCTTCTGAGGCAGACGTGCTAACCGCTACATTATAGAACCACCCAAATAGACAGTTTGTGTGAGTTTAAGAGTTACCCGCTGAAGTACGGTTCTTGATGCCCATAAGAGGTTCTAACACTGAAACGTCTTGTCAGCACGCTGGCGTCTGTTTGTCCTAAATCGCAGGCATGTGCGAGGCTCACCTTATCTTCAGCTCAGGTTAGACAGATGACTTTCCTAAATGTGTCGTGACACAGTAGCCATGGCCTATCAGTTCTAGATACTACCGTCTCTGTCTCTGTCTCGTACACGCAGTGTACACGTGCACTGATAGATGAACAGGAAGTGTAGTTACTAAACTCAGCCAGAGATGAAATTTAAAAGCAGCAGGCCCAGAACTGCTTATCATCTATCACACCTCTCACCGTGGGTGACTGACCTCTCAGACCTCGGAGCGAAACCGAGCGAGACAGCCCGGAAAGGCCGACAGCTGATCAGGAGGAACGGAAAGAAATTGGACACAGGCTGCAGGCAGCGGAGGTGCAAATAGAGACACGGCGAGGAAGAGACAGGAAGGCGGTTAAATGCTGATGGATTACAGAGGAAAGACGACGGAACAACAGTGAGAATGACAGAAAGTAAAAGGCTCGGTAGAACTGCTGAAGCGGAGGCTGGAGAAGAAGTAGACGGAGCGAGGCACATGTTGCTGTGATGTGAGCTGACTGTGGGACGGTGAGCTGAACTGAGGAGGACAGACCAACTCCCACCTCCGTCCACTTTTATTTGGAGAGCTTGACACAAGGTTTGGGCAAATTAGTCCTTCACACTTGAGTGTGTCAGTAGAATCTATTAAAAGTCCATTATTTGAATTGCCCTCCATCTCCATTACAATCACAAGGTTAAAAAGAATTCTCAATCTGGCTTCAGTTTGCTGGCTGGTCCTAACAGAGCCAATGAAACCTTATTAATTAAGGAGGGACTCCAAATAGTCACATTTGACCATCCTCTCCTAACTTCCTTGGATATATAATATTGAACTACTGATTTACATCAACTATGAGTTTAATCTCATTGAGAAAACTTCTTTACGAGTCAGATCTTATTCACTACTAAGACCAAAGACATTGTTTGCCAAACGGTCTCTGCAATATTGAGCCCCTGTTGAGTTTTCCCCCTTTGCCTGTTTTGTTGGCAGGTGATAATCGCCCCTCTGGAGGGGCCCTGGCCCAGAGTTCATTGCCAAAGGCAGCCAGGCGTATTCAGTAAACAAAAAATTAGCATGCAAATGGCATGGGAGGAAAAGGGCAGGGCTGAGAAGGTGAGGGTTTAAGGTCGCAGGTCAGACGCTCCTCAAACTGGATTGGGGAGCTGTCAATCATCAGCATCCTTTGGGCAGAGACGTGCAACAAAGGGAACAAAGATGGCTGAAAAAGAGGGCCTCCACCCACTCCCCCTCACCCCCCAACTTTAGCTCCACTTCCTCTTTTTGGAGTGATGACGGGGTTGCTTTGCAACAACTGAAGTGCCGGCCGTGTACTGGGTTAGGCTCAGACCGATGACTTCCTGGTAGGGTGATAGTCCTGCTTCAAAGCAGATGAACTTCAACTTGAAAACGTCAGCCTAACCTCACGGCTCGGCCGGCGCCGGCTCTCCTCGCTTCTGCTGTAGCAAACTAGACATTTTCACAGGGATCCCTGGAGGCATTAGGTTGCAGTCAGCAGTTCTCATCAGCACAATAAGCTTTTAAATCCACCTTAACTGTGCCACTTCAAATGGAACACAAAGTACAGTGCAGTCCTCGGAGAAATCGGTGGCAGTGCTTTTCAGCATGTGCTGTTGCCACGGCTGGTTAGGCACCGGTCTACTGTCGGTTTGTCACAGACACACCAGCCTTCCCTTTTTTCCCTCCCACTCTATCTTCTTCTTCTTCTTCTTCTTCTCATACCCACTGCCCCTCCCTTCATCCTCATCCTTATAGACAAAGAGAGACAGAGACCCACCAGGGAATGTCCAGCCTCCCAACCGTCTGCCCAGGTCCAGATAAAGACACAGTCTCCCCCAAGAGAGACAGAGAGGGGACAGCAAAGAGATGGGGTGAAAAGGGCCAGTGAGGATAGGAGAGGCGGTTACTGTGGGAGACGAGGGAGTGAGCGTTGGAGTGAGGGAGGGGAAAAAAGAATGCAGCATAAAGAGGACCTAGCAGGAGTGACAGATGCATCCAAAGTTGGCAAAGGAGAAAGGGGGCAAAGGGACAGTAACCAAAACAAAGAGCGTGTCAAAGGGATTCTGGGAGATGACAGTGATGAGACTGTGGATAATGCCTCAAACAACAGTCCATATTTGCATGAAATCAAGATGGTATGAGTGTTTGGGGGGCGGAGGGGTAACGTGTATCAACAGGGATGCCTTTGCCCAGGCAGACGGAGGAGCAGGCGTCGGGGCAACTACGACTCTGAGCTAATTGAATCATGACAGGACAGAGATGGATGGCCTAGAACACACTAGCAATCACTCACTCACACACAAACGCACTCATTCCCCCGATAACCCTCCTGCTGCTGCGTCAGGCTGTGATGTGCATCGTTTACCACCATAATCATCTGTCGTTCCGTCTCTCGCCCCTTTCTCTCTCTCTCCAGGTAAACCAGTGATGATAATCACCGAGTACATGGAAAACGGATCACTGGATGCATTCCTGAGGGTCAGTCATGCGTTACTGTCTGTGTATACATGGCTACATGTGTGTGAGTGTGTGTGATATGACCTGATCCTTCTCTTATCTCTGCCACGTCATCCTGGTAGAATTACAAGCGCTTGTTCACAAACATTGGCCCTAATCTCGATTAGACTCACTGATTTCCTGACAGCGTTTCACCGTAGCCTCTCCAGGTACAAAGTACAATTACTGAGTTTTATGATATTCAAAAGTGAATTGTTGTCTCCATGGCATCAGATCACCATACAAACTCTGTGTTACACAACAGTAATATATTGAAAGTTTATGACTTTAACGTTTACGTCATGAATAACCAGCTGGTCTGCAGGACAGTTTGGAGATAGTTCACATGGATTTGTTTTTTTCTTTGCCCCAAATCTACTCCTGCATTAGCCTGCATCAGGAACCAGCCTTTGACCTGGATGTTTTCCGCAAAGACACAAAGTCAATGTCACATCTGGAGTAAAAAAAAAATCAAAAGTTTTGATCCTACGATTTTATACTGGCTTTTGCAGAAGAACGACGGCCGCTTCACCGTCATCCAGCTGGTTGGTATCCTGCGTGGCATCGCGTCGGGCATGAAATACCTTTCGGATATGAGCTACGTTCACAGGGACCTGGCAGCGCGCAACATCCTGGTCAACAGCAACCTTGTGTGCAAAGTGTCTGACTTTGGAATGTCTCGAGTGCTGGAGGACGACCCTGAGGCGGCATACACCACCAGGGTGAGTGTGAGGGAGTGTGTACACGCGGCGGTCCGTCTGTGTGTCAGAGTTTATTATTCAGGGAATTTTTTCTTTAATTTTAAAGGGAGGAAAGATTCCCATTCGCTGGACGGCTCCAGAGGCCATCGCTTACAGGAAGTTCACCTCGGCTAGCGACGTGTGGAGCTACGGTATCGTCATGTGGGAGGTGATGTCGTACGGCGAACGGCCATATTGGGACATGAGCAACCAAGACGTAAGTGAGAAGGATATAATCACACACGTGCTTTTGTTAATTATATGAAGATTGAATTAGTGTGTGCTGGACACTCGCTTTCACTGATGTGAATTTCAGCAGGGACTGAAGGGAAAAATTATTTCAGCAACTTAATGAAAGCTTCATACACACACACACACACACACACACTGGTGTCTGCAGAGAACTTTTTAGTTATGGCCACAGGAGATCCTGGTACTTTTAATTTTTCCTAAGTTTAAAGTATTTAAAGGAAAGAAATGCAATCATTTTAATTCAGTTTTATAATCAATTACCCGCAGCAGTGATGAGATTCCAGCAGTGTATCCCATTTCCTCGTTCTCGCGCAGAATGCGGCGTTTTACCACTGCTAATGATGATAAAGAATTTAATTTATGCACAACCAAATGTCTGGCGTAGGAGGCTAAAGTAAGGCCATAAAGAACAAGCTAAGGTTATAAAATTAGAAGCCAACAAAAAAAATGACACAGCTGTAATTAAAGTGTCTGCACTTTTATTACTGCATTACTCCTGACTGCAAAACAGGGCGAGAGACAAAGTGACTCACAGCTGCTGTAATCAACTCCACAGGTCATTAAGGCCATTGACGAGGGCTATCGGCTGCCACCACCCATGGACTGCCCCGTGGCTCTGCATCAGCTCATGCTGGACTGCTGGCAGAGAGAGCGAGCCGACCGTCCAAAGTTTGGACAGATCGTCAACATGCTGGACAAGCTGATCCGCAACCCCAACACCCTGAAGAGGACCGGGGGAGAGAGCGCCGTCAGGTGAGGCCTTCTCCCACTGAACACACTTCACTGCCAGCTCAGTGTAATGACAACAAGCAGCAAACACTACTGATGTACTGTTCCTCAGATATTCTCATTTGTGGGTCAGTGTTTAAGGGTTACATCCCCTTGTGGCTCCCTTTACAAATACCTTGACAAGAACAACTTTTTAAACAGTTCAAAATGATGTTAAAGAAACAGTTTCATGTACATTTTGTGGTTCACCACGAAGTCCATCTGTCTTGAAAATGTAATAATTTCACAGAGACAACTGACAAACATGTTAGGCTGAAAACCAAACCAGTACATTATATTTATGTATTTGCTAAACTCACAGGCTGACACCAAATCCAAAGCACATAAAATACGCAGTATTTGTCAAACACACACACACACACGTGCGCACGCATTCATTCTCTCCCTGCTTTACATTTACATTCAACATTAAACATTATCCGCAGCTCGTGGCTCTTTTCAGCACAAACCCGCTGCTGTAATGGATCTCTTTAACGGTGCTGTACACTCCGGCATGCAGGGGGACAGAGTTACGCTGTGTAAAAAAAAACAAACACAACCTAAAAGCTCCACCACCGCCATAACTCTCATGTGGTTAAATGTGTTAAGAATGACCTGGGCATGTTTACAGACTGGTTACAGGCCACGGAGAGTCAGTCTGAGATTAATGAGCGAGTTTACGCAGGCGTGGTGCGGACACCCACTAACTTAGAGAACAAAGGGGAGCCCTGGTGGTGTAATCAGCAGAACCGAATCGCATAAAAGCAGCGTTTGTCGTTTAAAACTAGGAGACAGTATGGACGGGAAAACATTTGTCACTAAGACTGTTCCACTCCTCCAGCCATCGATCACAAGATCTTTGAAGACCAGGAAGATTCTAACAATACGTTGATAACTCTAGGACGCTTTAAACTCCTATACACACTAGTACATTGTCAATTTTGGGAAACACCGTACTAGTAGGTGTAGTCAACAGTGGACAAAGCGATCAGGTTACACGGTAAAAGGCAAACTCCTTCAGCTACGGCCGTCAAATCAATACAATTTCTTTTGATTTAATCACTATAAATCACCATTCCATTCAAAAATTATATCAAAAATGTATTTTTTTGTTTTCACAATAGGCCCAAAACCACCCTGCTGGAGCCCGGCAGTCCAGAGGCATCTTCAGCCGTGGCCACAGTGGAGGACTGGCTGCAGGCCATAGGCATGGAGAGATACATGGACAACTTCACAGCTGCTGGCTACACCACCCCAGAGGCCGTGGTCCACATGACACAAGAGTGAGTAGGACGAGAGACAAGGTCAAAAAAACAAAAACGGTGACAAGGATAAGGAGATAGGTGGAAAAACAACGATCTTTCATTTAAAAAAATGGTTGAAATTCTCTGTATGCGTACTCACATACTACATAAAAAGCTGTGTTTTAGAGATTTTCACTGGTCTTAATTATCCGTCTGACCAGCAGCTTGTTAAAAACTCATATAAATAAGCTGTTAAAGGTCTTTCTGACTCCGTCAGCTGTCGGTTGCATTTGCGTTTCCCAGTTGTGATGAAGAGGATGAGAAGTGCTGCGCTGGCCTGTGAAATTCCTTGTACAGCAGTGAAGCTGTCAGGCTGCTTCTTCTATGGACGGCTGTAAAATTCATTATGTGCATCAGGCCGTCACAGGCTTGTTATTGTTGTCTGCGCTCCTAAAAACGTCCGCCTCATTCTTCCCGCTCTCCTTTCTCAGGGACATGGCTCGCATAGGCATCTCCTCAACAGCCCACCAGAACAAAATCCTGACCAGTGTCCAGGGAATGCTGTCCCAGATGCAACAGATGCAAGGCAGAATGGTTCCAGTCTGACAGAATCAACCGACCACAGCAACGAGGAAGAAAAAAGACTTTGTTTCTTACGATAAAAAAAGAAGAAAATCAAAAAACTAAAAAGATGAAATATAGAAAAGGAGACAAATAAACTCTGAAGAAATAGTTTACCTCATCCATGCACTTTAAATTGGACTGAACAAAAGATGACATTGATGAAGAAGAAAAAAAAAAGTGGCCAAAATTGCACTTTTTTTTCCGAAATCAGACCTTTACCTTGCCCTCTTTTTGTTGTTTTGGAGATCAGGGCACTTGTGTCTGCAGCGTTTATGGATAGATGAAGGGAAGTGCTTCCGAGGGGCCAATCTGGAGTGCCTTTAATGGTCTGGAAGGAAAAGTTGGAAAAAGGGGGGAACCACACCTTTCTTCCTTGCCCCAGGCAGAGTGTTGTTTTTGGAACTTTTGCTGTGGAATAAATCGCGAGCAGATTTCTATCTTTTTCTGTTGATATCCTGTGACTGTGTTCATTGTACATGAAGTTGTTTCTGTGGAACTTGCCGGCAGCCCCAGCCACCGATGTTCGCTCTCTCTCAGCTGGATCTGTTTGCTATCTCGCGGACAAAATGGAGGATTCTGAAGCATCAGACAGAAACAGGGTTCTTTTTACAAGTTGAGACTTGGATTCCAAGGGGGAGCCTAGTGTAAGGAGGGCACTATTTTTTTTACTGTTCTCCTTTTTGTTCTTTTTTTTTTTCTTCTCTGCCTTGTTTTCTCCCTCTAAGAACACGGTGTTTTGTTGCCCAAAGGAACGTTGCCAAGAATGTATTGATCTTCCAGAGGAGAACTTCCCAATCCCCTGCCTTCCCCCAAAAAATACTCAACCACACCTCACTTAAAAATACAGTTTGGCTTCTTCCACTCTTTGAAGCGGCTGCTGGACTCGCCATTTTCTTCCTTCCACCTCTAAAGATGGAGAGCCGTGTGGACTCACTGAAACTCAGTCTGCAGGTGAAGCAGAAGGCTGGATTTACTCAAGCAAAGTGATGCATCAAAGGACAATATGGCTGCAGAATCATCAGCTCCGTCAATGACAAGAAAAACGCAGCCACTACTCTACTGTGTGCATTATCAAGGTAAGGACCAAAGGCAGCCATTTTAAAGTTCTTAGTGTTTGTGTCTAGGAATGGTACAGTTTATACAAAACTCACATTCTGCAGCAGTCGTTCCCAGACACTGGGTTTGACTTCTGAGATGCAGGTCAGTGTTGAAGCAGAACCCAATTTGACTTCTGAGATGCAGGTCAGTGTTAAAGCAGAGTCCAACAGAAAATGAGGATTTAGGATTTTAGATTTGAAGACTGAAGTTTGAAGAGATGAGGATTTAGGATTTTAGACTGTATGGCAGTCAGCTAATTAGCTACACTAGCCTTGCTTCTACCTTTGAAGACTGAAGTTTGAAGACAAAATATACCAACAAAAAAAAAAAAATCTAACAGCAAACTGAGCAGAGATATAGGAGAAACCGTTGTACCATTTTAAAATAGTGACCTTCACAAATTCCAGACTAAATTCATCCAACGTGACGTTCACCGGCTTGTACTGAATTTCCAGTTATGTCTCATAAAACAAAGAAATGATCTGATCTGATTCCACATTGGCTGGACTCGATGTTGCCTTCACTGTCCTCCGTCCTTTTTTTAAACTGTGTATGAATTTAGTTACATAAGTTAGAATGCGAGTTTGGATCAGAACACCAAATATTTTTTGTTTTATTTTATTTTATTTCCTTAACAAGAACATTACATTGGAGAAATAAGATTTCTCAGTTCATTCAAAACATAATATAATTTGAAAACCAGTATTCTGGAACAAATCTGTCTTTGATAAAAGTGAGATACAAGATTGGTCTCTCATTCTTTCTCTCTCTCACACACACTATAAAATGTTCACAACAGTGTGACTCTGTAAAAGAGGCGAGCCCATATGGAATAAATTGGTTTGTTGAAACAATTTATTCCAGATATCTTTCTTTTAACCCGCTGTGAGGCCAAACTCAGAAGTTCACCACTTCTTGGATTTTCTGTTAAAAAAAGTCCAAATAAATGCAAATGTGTCCGTCCTGCTGTGGGGATCAATAGGATTTAAATGCGTTGGTACCCTCACTGTCGCAGCAGAGGCTGATTAAAGCAAAACAGATGTTTCTTCAAGTTCTTATGCTTCCCTTTAATGCTGCTGCTGCTGCGTGCTTCCACTGCAGTCGACTGAACAGAGTCATAACAGTCTTGTCAAAGTGTTACAGCCTCCATCACGGGCCTCAGCGCTTCCACAAACGCTGTTAATTAACAAGCAGGTCGAGCTTCTGCTGCAGTCAGAGCCGATCAATGATCAGTTTATGGTCCTGGTGCTGCGTCCTAATGAAATGACTGCCACTCAGCGTGACACGGACCGTCAGGGTTTAAAGGAACAGTTTGTAACATTTAGGAGAGTTTACGAGCAGCTAATAAAAACACGTCTGTGTGATCGCTTCTGTTGTCAGGATTCCACTGCGGCGTCGCACCGAAGCAGATGCAAACATAGACAGATGATGTATTCTCGGTGAAGGTCAAATTAACTAAGCTGAACTGTTAGTTAGACTCCGGTTGTTGTCTGCGGTCTGTTACATATGAATAATTCTTAAAAGACAAAGTAGCCTTGAACTCTTTCCAGGAAAAAAAATGAATGAAATTATACCTAAATTATATCTATAAATTCAATTATATATGTATATATATGTACAGTATATAGCAGAAAAAATCATAATTGATCATAATTCAAATTCACTCTAGTCTGATTTTATGGAGTAACAGACTGAGATAAAGGATAATAAATTATTACATAACCATTTATTTGACTGCTGTGTTTAGAGATTCTTAGTTAATTAAGTTAATTTTATGATTTGTTTGAAGCTATTTTTTTTCAGTTGACTTAATGTTTTTTTAAAATGATGTGTTTTCTAATTCATTTCTATTCTGACAATGTATTTTACTATAACTAGCAATTATCTGGTCAACATAATATATATTTGGTGATATTAAACTGTAGAGATAATCATCACATTTCTTCCATTTTACTGCATTAATGCCTTTTAAAGACAGTTCCATTAACAGTCGAATTATTCTGGCATAAATGTGTAAAAACAATTACTAGTGATAAATGATACATTTACACACATCTGCCACTTAATGCTTCAAACTGTCATAAAAACATTCACATCTATGGCTAATTTACATGTTTCGTTTGTAAGAGAATAATTTACACATCAACAAACACTCGACTACTACTGCGTTAACGCCTTCCCAAATAATAATCAAAACATTAAATTGAAAAACTATGGTCATTGACACACGACGACACATTTCCCTAAAAGTCTATTTAATTTTTCTATTACTCAAATGTTTAGATTTTTGTTAATAATCACAGAGATCGTTTTTAGAAAGAGGAAAAATCAGAGTGAAATGGCTACATTTGTCGATCAAATCTCCACCTTTAGAACATCGTCTAAAAGCAAAAGATCAAATGAGTTTCATTTGTAAAACACTATTAAGTACAAACACAGAGCTAAGACGTGTAATTCGGCTAATTAAAGCACGTACTGTGTGTTAAAACTGCTAGCACGGCAGCATATGGTGAACATCCAGACGGAGTCAGCGAGGATTTATCAGTTCTCTGGCCTGAGTTATGTTGTCGACTTGTAAACAAAGAATTTATGTGCGTCGGCTGTTGAGTCTACACCCGCAGTAATCATCTAACGCACACATTCGCCCAGTGTGTGTGTGTAGCCGCACGTTGCATGTGTGCCAGAGAGTCAAGGACACGTTCCATATATTATGTACAAATACATCAGCATGTGGTGCACACTAGTTAATACGCTGTTGCCACAAAATCCATATTTTGCCCCAGGAGGGCGGCGGCTGCTGGCACACCGCGGACCGCCTGGCTTTGGCCCTGGATTGTGTTTAACGGATGAGTCGAATGTTCCACGGAGTCAGAGTCGGAGTCAGAGTCAGAGTCGGAGTTGGAGTCAAAGTTGGAGTCAGAGTCGGAGTCAGAGTCATTGTTGCTCAGAAAAGTTGTGATTATTTACATTCAAAACCACTGTGACTGACGCCGTCTCTCCTCTCTTCTTCTCTCTCCCCAGCTGCTGCCGTCCGATCTCAGCCTCACTCGCCACAACCACAACTCTTCCTCACTAGTCTTCCTCCGTCCAGCCCCCTCCTCACCCTCCTCACCCTCCCTGTGTAACCTTGTGTCATTTTCGACCAACTTGCCACCACCTCGCTCGTGGCTGTCCAGCAAAGTACTGGGAACTCTATGAATGATTTAACCGAATCACACAGAGACAATAAGAAGAATGTAATATAATAGAGAAGTTCTGCTCCAGTGGACGACGTTCTTTTATTTGGTAAAAAAAAAAAAAAAGTCTCGGTTTATTTTGTGAATTTTGATTTTGTTGCCTACTTTTCCCTCCGCATGTAAAGAAACAAGTGTTTGAGCTGATTGTGTGACTGTGATGACGTGTGTGCACGTGTGTGTGTGTGTGAGTCTTTGAAGTAATATCAGTAACTGTGTTTGTTTTCATGCCACTGTGGAGGAGGAAGAGATAACAGACGTATTGTTTTATAAAGAAAAACAGCCTACTTTTTGTTTTTGCTGAAAAAAAAAATTCAATTTTCTTTTTTTGTCTGCTCTCATTGTTCAAGTCTCTACTTATTCACACAGTTTCATAGAACAAACTCTGCTGTGGACGTAACTGAGGTTTGGAAACGGTCAAAAAGTTTTGGACTCTCTGAGAGCAGGACAAATCAAAGAGACACACAGGAGACGTCTCTGGGCCGGGGTTTGAACCTACACACAGTGTCAACATTCAGAGAAGTGTTTAAGGAAGGATTTTTTTTGTTGTATTTTATTTTCATTTAAACCACATCAAACCACTGCAGGTTTAAATCACCGGACTTTGTTCCTTTGTTATCTCTTTAAAGTATACTTATGTGAATGTTTCTGAATCCGTAAAGTGACGCTTTCGACGACACCTCCGCCCTTAATACTGCTCTACTGCTCTTTCTGGTTTAGGCATGTGTTTGTTTTGATCTGTCGTAAGAGGACCTGTTTGGAAATATGCAAGTTACATTGGCGAGTAGAAGGAAACCAGAATGTACTGTAAAATACTTTTTTCCTTTACGTAAATGTCAGAAGAGTTACAAAAAAAAAGAGTGTTAAATAATCAGAGCTATTTTTGTCGTTGTACGCCTTCCATTGCCACGTGGATGTAACATTCTCTCTCACTCTTCTCTCTTTTTGTACTTTTGTTTGGACACGATCATATTTCTTGGTTTTGTTTTGTTTGTTTTTTTTTGGTTTATATTTTGTTTTTTGTCCCGGAGCTCTAGGTACATGTAACTTATGTCATTTATTTATGTCCTTTTATATCTAGTTTGTAAAATAATAGCATAAAGTGAAGAAAATAAAGGGGGTGCCGCAGTGCATTCTTATTAAAGTAGAAACCACATGACGTTTGTTACTGGCTTTGTTCACACAACAACAACAGTATATCCACCGTTACTAGAATGTTCTTACTGCGAAAGAATCTGAACACGTTCATGTCCACTGCTCCAACTGGGAAACATTTGATGAAGTGGTGAAACAGCAGTGTCATCAAATACATAACCAGACATTTCAGCTGATTATTAGAAAGATCATTTTCTGATGTGACTGAAATCACACCAGTCTACAGTCCCTCAGCATCCATTAGACAACTGTGTCAGTCAGTCTGTCAACTGTAGACTTACACACCCTAACTGGTCTGACACAAACAGGTGTCTCTCCTTCAGCTGAAGCACCCAAACATGCTGGGCATCAAGATGGTATTTAACCATTGACAGCCCAGATAATGACACTGACAAGTTAACTTTACCAGAAAATAAAAATAAAATATTTAAGTTATTCTAAAAGTGGCTACGGGTTGGCCTACAATGTAAACAATTTTTTTAAATAAAAAATAAAATAAATCAATGAACACATATTTCACATTCATTTCAGCCTCTGTAAAACTAGTCAGAATAGCACCAAAGACCTTGGACATGCCTTGCCAAATTAAACCCCACCTAAATATAAATTTATCATCATCATCATCATCAACCTTTGACACAAACCTCAGAATTAAAAATTGGCCTCAACAGAACCAGCACCAATTGAGAAAGCTAAAAAAAAAATGTTTTGAAGAGGAATGTCACACATGCACAAACACACACACACACACGCACACACATCCAGCTCCGATGCCGAAGTCACGATCGCGTTCAACACACACACACACACGCACACACATCCGAAGCCGAAGTCACGATCGCGTTCGTTACTTATTGCAGTCATTATGTCTGTGGAGCAGAACTGATTAGCTCACTATTATTCATTGATTGGTGTATTATATGATTGCACATAATGGAAAGGTTGCATCAGAGAAGGTGGAACATCAAAGAGTTTCCTCTGAAACTTCCTGCGACGCTGCCTCCAATTTCAACACACCCATTTCTACACTTGAAAAATAAATATATAAAACAGTGTTGAGTAGGGATTGTCTCGGATTCGAGACTCTCAGACTTGGCCCTCCGCTCCTGTCGGGCCCTGAGGCAGCGGTAAGCACTGCTCACCCGTTGCAGTGCATGTGTGTGTGTGTGTGTGTGTTTAATCAGTACAACATCTGCTTCCTGCACTCATTTCCAGCAGCGATAAACCATTGATTGTTCGCAGTCTTTGATAAAGGCCGGAGAGAAGGAAGGGAGGGAGGGAAGGAGGGAGGGAGAGGACAGTTTTAGACACG